TACTGGCACCTGCTCACTAATTTAAGTCCGAATTAGCAAGGCTCCTCCAAAGGCATGAGCAGTTTGTAGGTGCCATCCAGCTCCTTTGCTTTCAGATAGAGATACACCTCTTTATATATACAGCACCAACGAGTTCAATATAGAAAAAACTTTCGAAAATACGAGCAAAAACTTTAAGTAGCAAAAGTTTTTGATAGTTAGACACATGTTCTTGCAGCTTTCGTGGAACATGCGACTGATCCGTAAGGCCAGCTTGTGAACCCCCATCCACCACCATCACCGCCATCGAAACTCACCACCAATCACCATCACCACGATCTCCACTTTCATCATCACCGTCACCTCTTTGGACCCCAATGCGTCTAGATCTCTAGACGTTCGCTGCTACACCTCTAGACCTCAAAAAACACTGTTTGGGGTCTCTTGCCGGGAAAATATTGTGTTTTTCCGGGATAGTGTTTTAATTTTTCCTTTTGTCCCCAGGACTTCTGTGATAGAAAGTTTGAGTGAGAAGTCGCCCGGCGCCCAAAGAAAGCAAAAGGCATTGGGGCATGTGGGCAAAATACAGAAAATAATGAAAGATAAATGCAGGCCATAGTTGTATAAGGCTATATAACGCAAGAGGCAAGGAGCGGTTGACAAGTACAATTCCCAAGAGGCTGTGTATATACACACGGCGTGACCCGTAAGCATGCTTCCAGCAAACAAGCAGCACTATAACGCACCAGCAAACCAGCAGCACACCAGCAGCAGCAGCAGCAGCAAACAGCAGGAGAAGCAGCTGCACACCAACAGCAGACCAGCAGCAGAAAAAGCAGCAAACCAGCAGCAGTGCCAGGAGCAGAAAATCAGCAGGCCATGTGGCTCTGGTGGCCGTGACCACAAACACCTTGATGCAAACGATAACAGTTAAGACAATCTGCACTCAAACAGCACAAACACGGCACTTACAAATAAGTTTCCAAGGTAAGTCACTCTCAGATAACGCCTGCCCCACACACCCGTTCGCAGAAACAACTTCAGCCTTGCCAACAAATTGCCAAGTGAATCCTGAGGTGACCCGTCACATGATCATTAAACAGCAACACAGGAATTGAGGCGATCGCATCACTTTAGCCAGTACAAGATTGCAGGCTTCTTCTTCTTCTTCTGCAAGGTGTCATCAATTCATCGTTCGTCATGCAGCTACCGAAAAGACTCTTTTTGACTAACGATCCATGTCGTACGGCATCACCCCCGGACTTAAGGGCTCCAACTACTCTCTGAGAAGATAGTTGGGGTGGGTGCCAGGGGGTCTAACCATCTTCTGAGGCCCGGGGAAAATATAATTGTGCAACAGTTGGACGCACATTGATGGACAACGTTTGTCAACAACTCACCGACCGAACACTTTAAACATCCTCAAACCTCCTCATTGGCCTCCTAAAACATGAGAAAAACAAGGTCCCCTTGTTCTGGACTGTTTGACCGATTTTACTGGAGTGGATCATAATCATATCACAAGCACGACTCGTGTACTGAGGTTTTCAGCAGCTTTTGGCTCGACTGGACCTACTGGGCCTGTATGGCGGCTGGACCCCTGTCATCCCATCTCGCACTCGGGGACGAGGGTCCTTTCGCTCTCGTTGTATCCCGCGACTTTGGCCGCGTGCTCCCTCGCCCTGACGATGAGGCAAAGCTCAGAGCAGGCTAGCTTGGTGCTGGCGCCAGCACGGGAGATCCAAAACAAGGGGGAGGCGGAGAAAACTCCAAAATGCTTGAGGGATTCAAGGGGTGTACGGTATACATCGGTAAGTTCTATATAGGTATACTTCGATAATCTTCTATACGTGTTTCTGTTCTGATCATTTCAGGGAACATATGGGAACATACACACCTTCGAAAAGGGACATGGTAAATCTTCCTGTTACCATCACAAGGGTTGGGTAAGGGTATGAGGCTTTCCTGGCACCTAGAGTTACCCTATGCGACCCTTAAGGCTTACCCTCTGGTGTTTGATGGTGCTACCTCCGCCACGGCGTCACCGTCCACCCGGTGTGGGAACCGCCGGTCCCGCCGTCCCGTCCGCGCGCGCCTGGCGTTGTGCTCGCTCCGGCGCAGGAGCCGATCGCGGCCCTCGTCCCGCAGGGTGGGAGGCCTCGGGAGGCTCGGGCAACGGTGGCGCCGCGGAGCACATGGGTTTGATTCACATGTGCATTTGTTTAAAGAATCACATGTTTTTTCATTTCAAATGTGTATATATGTATCTTAGATTCATGCCTTCTAAGAGAAACATGCCTTCTAAGAGAATCACAGTTCTTACAGGTATATGTTGGATTTAAGACATGTACAGTGAGAGAACATGCCTTCAGTTCAGTGAGAAACCATGACTATATATTATATAATACTAGTGAAAGAGAGGCAAAGCTCAAATGGTTGGCTCAAATGGTTGACTAAACATCTGTTTTACAGCGCTGCTTTTAGCGGGCTTGATCCGAAATCCGCTGGTGGGCCTTTGATCTCCGCGCGAATCCGAGCGCTCATGCTCGGTCGCTTCAGCGACGTCATGTGACTTGAGGTCCTTCATAGAGGTTCACCTTGAACCTGAAGAGGTTTTGCAATCCATAAATGATGTTCTTAACAACAATAACTGTTCTTATGTGTGTCTATTAATCCCAGAGTCTACAATGGCTCCGGGCCAGAATTGATCCACTTCTTTGGAGGAACCCCCACGCCGGCGCAAGGGCGCCACCCGGAGCGACCAGGAGGGTCGCTCTGCCAGCGGTTTCGCGGCTCCCTGTTTCATGGGGGAAGAACTGGATGTAACATGATGTAACTGGAGACCCCCACCTTGCACCAGCTATAAGCTTTCACACGTTCAAATCTCGACCGATCAAATGATTAAGGCTCTTCCCTGTGAAGGCTGACGCGAAGTCATTAATTGTTGTTTGGGGTCATAGCAACATCCATTCTCTCGTGTCCAAGTTTGGTGACTTTTGCTGGTTTCAGCCATTCAAACATTAATCCAAGTAGTGCTCAAGTGTTGCAATGCGCCCGATCATATTCTAGCACCTAGAGCTTATACCAGTTCTTTTTGCAACAATACAACGCGCACACACACATATATAATATATATATTTGTGTTCATGCTATGATTCTTCCACGATCAAACTGCATTGAACCTAACACCCATGGCCAAGAAAAATGAGCACAAGAAGGTGCTCACCCCCACGACCGCATTTGTAATATTTGTATGTGGTGACAATCTTTCTGCTCATGTGGTGACAATCGTCAATTATATAGATTGCATGCAGTGCCCAAAGGCCAAGTTGCTCATGTGAGCCTGCTTTAACAACGAAAGGGCCTCCAATCCATTTTCATATTCCGTGGTTTTGAGGATATGGTTGGAGCCCTAGGGATTGTTTCCCTTCTACTGTCAAAACCTGAAGGACAAGAATCCACCACAATCAAACGATAGGTGCACTGACTGCAACCTCCTCTTTATCCTCCAAACACGAACCACCTAAAATGCACCCAAATACCAAACACCACACCATGACTTGCTCTCTCCAAGTTTTCGAGGTTTTCCGGAGAAATCCACCAACGTGGTCCTCACGCCAAGGAGCAATAACACCGGCATCGTACCTGCGCGGTGTGCCGGGGGAAGCCCCCCTGAGGAGTGGGATGCAGGAAGAATGCATGGAAGGAGCGAGCAAAATGGGCTGCAAAGGGCTACATTGCTATCAAACATGTGCGCCCTCTTTTCTTGCACACAGAAAGTGACTTTAGTACTCTTTAGTGAGTATAAGCGGCAAGCATGCAGGTCTGCATACAGTACAGGGACATCGACGTGTTACTCAGCACCCAACATCAACGTCATTCTAGAATTGCAGCTGTTAATCCATTGGCATTCTGCAATGGAGGTTTAGGAGCACTTCCCCATTGTGCAGGGAATGTCTGCTTTCGGGGCTGACGAGTTGTTGTTTGGCCATCACACCATCCTGCCTCGTCAACATCTCAAACATGTGTTCTCCACCATCAAAAATACACGCACCAAAAACACGCATTGATATCACACTCACACCATCCAGACAGCCCTCTTCGTGGCTCCACCCTTCCAAAACAAGCCGTTGTCACGTCCGCCCTCGCGTGGCCCCGCCTGGGCCCCGCCGGCGGACTTCGCCCACGGGGGGACTCGCGGCGACGAAGAGCGGAGTGGAGCCGAAGCAGACGGAGGGGCAGACGGAGGTCGCTTCAAGGATCCAAGGAGAGGTTCTCCAGGACTTCAAGGATGTGGACATCCTGGATCATTTTCTATCAACTTTCGAAACACCTGTCCTCTCCACATCCTGTCCTTTCTATATCTTTCTATCCAGGATCGGAGTTATCTCTTTGTAAGGAAACAGCCGGGCGAGGACTTCGAGGATCCAGGACTTGGAATCAAAATCAAACCCACTCAGCATGTTCACATCTTCAGCTTCTCACTTCTCGTCATGACATGTCGCATCCCCTTTTTCTTGTCATGATGGAGGTGCCCCCTTGCTGTTTGGAGATTGAACCATCAAGTATGACAAATAACACATAAACAAAAACTATAAAATAAATATGAATGTCGAGGGCCTGTTGCCAAAGATGTTTCACAACAACGGTTAAAACATGTTAAAACGAGTTAAACTAGTTTAGTTGACAAAACAAGACTCAAACAATTAACCTATAGATTAACAACAACCTTTTTAAGTGCACATTTACCCAGGCCGTCTCCCAAGATATCGCCGTTCCTATATGCAAGAACTCTTCTCAGATCTTCTCAAAGAACAGGGCAGTGGTGCATTCACAAATTTGAGTCTGAGCCAAAACCAAATCACATCCTAGCAAAAACTAATAACATTGTCAAAGCGTGCGGAAATCCAGTGGGCAAAGTTCTCGAGTTGAGGAGGGACAAGTCTTGATTTTCACACATGCAAACTCTTCTGGTTCTAGGATGACAAAAAGGCTCAGGCGCAGCCGCAGCCAACTCTTTTCTGTCACACTTCTTGGCTGAAGTACCTCAGCTGCCATCCGTGATCACATCCAGCCGTAGTTTTGGAGGCACCTTGCCTCAGTTTTCACAGCCAAAAATCCGCCATTGATGTCCCGATTGTTTCGAAAAGCTTTAGTTGGCGCCAAAAGCCATTGGTTTCCGGCCTTCTCTGCCTTTGTCCAAAGCAAAGCTGAGTCTGATTGTCTAAATGAGATCAAAATCCCTTCAAACAATATCTATATACATTGCGGCCTCGCTCCCCCACCCAGGCTCCCAGTGATACCCAGTATACACTAGTATACAGAGTTTCTTGTAAAGCCTGTCCGGTACTTGAGAAGAGATGTGCAACCAACCCAGAAAAGCATCAATCCAAACACATCCAAACACCAATCCAAACTCAATGACCAACTTCTCGATTGACACCTCTGGACTGCCATGTGCCACCAGGACATGCGCCCCCATCGCGACTGCCCGTCCGCTGCCCGTCCGCCCAGGCACATGGGTATTCGGGGTCGGAGCAGCACAAGCGCTGCGAGGGATCTCCGCCATTCTCTTTGGGCGCAGGAACCTGGAAAACGGTGCGGGTTCCGGTCCCGGGTTCCCGAACCGGTGCGGTAGAAACGGTACGGTAGGAACCTTCTAACCGGTCCAGTGGTCCGGTCTGGGGTGGCCCTGTGCGTTGAGCTGTTCAAACCTGGCTCGGTGCCGACGCATCAATACGCGGCACTTGTGTGTTCGAGGCATCAAATGCGGCTTGGCTTGGAACACCACACTAACATGGAGCTGCTCAAACAAGGGGGGCCTTCCCTTCTGGCAGGTCTTTTCTTGAGCCCATACATCTCCCTGTTGAGCCTGAGAAATCCAAGTTCACCTACAGTTCTACCTCGACACGACTTCAAGTACCTTGGAACATGGGACGTGACATGACCCTATCAAAACCGGTACCCTCCTGATCCATCCTGTACCCAGTACCCAGTTTTCTGGGTACTTTGGTTCCAGGTATAAACATACTGAGCCTACAGGTCCAGTCTGATCCAATAAGACCTGGTCCTGAACACCTCAGTACACGGGTCGTTTTTTTTGTATGACCAACTCCAAAGGGTCAAGCTGACTGGTAGGGTAAATGATGCAAATGACATCAAAACATAGTTCGCTTGCTTGGCGGTTCATCAAGATGCACGCAGCTCCAAATTAGCTGAAGATTTGGTCAGTCCCGATGCGTCCGATGACCTACTGAACTCCCACTTCTTTCTGAGAAATCATTCCAAATCCATACCCAAACCCCAAGAAGGCACCCCACCAAACCCCACCTCACACCCTTCCATGACCACAACTCACCGACTCTCCGCAAGAAATTCAGCATCCGGAAGGACCGGCGGCATGTTCGCGTGCTTGCTTTTGTAGACTACAGTTACCCTATATAGGAATCCCATGGAATCCCTATAGTCTGAATCCAGCACAAACCATTACTCTAGGACCTCCCGGACGGTTATATACATGATGTTACCACCATAAAACCCATGTCAACCCGATTCAATTTGGATCTTTATATCCATGCTCTGCTCCCCAAGGCACGCAACGGAGGAGCTCCACCTCGTAACGAAGGCCCTCCCTTGGGATTGGCCGGCGCCTGGGTGGAGCCGCGGGCCGCGGTTGGACTCCTCTCCTCTTCCGGGCCGGTCTGGGCCCCGGACAAGGGCGGCTTGACTCCAACGCGCGCCAAGCCGTTGGGATATCCCATGTAGGAGGGCACCTACCGGGAGGAGGGCACCGATGTGTGTGTGAGAGAGAGAATGTGGAGAGATGGAACTCCTATGAAAGCTTCTTCATTCCTGCCCTTCCAAACTTTTTGGAGCCTGGGAACCCTGGGCTAGAGAGTTGAGATTGTGAATGATTGTGAGGTCTTCAAAACCTTACCATGTTTTGAAAAAGGGTGGGCTTGAAAAACCGGCGATGTTCCCGACACCTAGGGGGTCAAGATTGAAACTCGCAAAAACGACCGACCAGTCGACCGACCAGTCGACCAGTCGACCGAAAAGCCCGTGGCACACCACCGACCAACCGGTCGTCATGTGTTGGGATGAAAACTGCTTCTCCATCCTGCACCCCGAAACTGGGCATCGAAGCTGGGACGATGCAAAGCCAGGACAGTTAGAGCCCATGTCAACGTACTTGCAACCCTAAGACGTACGTAGGTGAATCCTCTCGACAACCGAGAAGGAAGCCGACCGCTAAGAGTTTAGAAACTGCATTCTGCACAACATCGGTGCCGAGAAGAAGCCAACATCGGTGGCCGAACTGGCCTGAAACAACACCAAGACGAACACACAAATTAAAGATCCAGAGACGGTGCGCTCTTCTCTTCTCTTTACAGGCTTCGCCTTCCACCCACGGATGTCGCCCGAGGACCCCGCTTGGACCAATCGCACGGAGCCCAAGGTCATGGTGGCCAAAGCCTCCTCCAGGCCCTCGGTGATGCCCTTGCCATGAGCTTTACAGGTCGAGGGTGGGAAGGATGGGGAGGTAGATGTAGGATGATGTAGGTGAGTAAGCTATATAGCAAGATAGTCCATCTAACTACAGGAAGTACCTCATCCTCGAGACCTGCAACAGATTTTCTGTAATGGTGTTTCAAGCTGTAGTTGTTCCACTTGCCCATTGCCCACTATCTTGTTCACACTCCTGCAGCCAGCCCCGAAGCTGAGAATCACTGCCCACACACTGCGCCACATCTTCCGCCTGGGTCATGGTGCCCAAGGAGAACACCAAAGGCGCTCCGTCGGAGTAGGTATCGATGAAGATCTGGGGAGCTTGGTGCTTCATCGTCGATTCGGAACATCATCTGGACGGTATGGGTTGGATGTGAATGTTGAAGGAACTGGGTTGGAAAGGATTGAAACAACTCTGATTTGTTGATTTGTCTATGATTTTGCCCTTGTCAGGTTTTGCTTCATGTACCAAGGAAGTCCAAGGAAAAGCGTTCAAAGCAAAGTCAAGTGAGAAAAGCACATCGTTTCCACTTGAATTCAATCATCAAGCCGTCAAGCCATCCATTTCCCATCCCTTCACCCTTCAAGAAAGGCGCCCCCCATCTCACAGGTCTTCAAGCGGCAGGGTCATCTTTCTCCATCAAGTAGCCTGCCAAGAGGTCCGGACAGGTGGCCAATCACCATGGCTGAGAAAAAAAAGAAGAAAACACACACACACACACATCTCCATCTCTCTCCATCTCTCTCCATCTCTCTCTGTCTCTGTCTCTCTTTCTCTCTCAAATCTCTCTCCATCTCTCTCTCTGTCTCTGTCTCTCTTTCTCTCTCAAATCTCTCTGTCTTCAGACTTCTTCAGAGTTTCTGTTTTGGGGATCAAACATCCTGGTTCTTTCTAGATCCCTTACCAGCACCATGCCAAAGATGCTGTTTTGGGACCACCCCCTATTGTGTGTGCCCCATCTAGAAGCCATCCTTTGGGGTGGTGCTGGTACTTGGCATTGCGTGATCTTGTGGTGAGAAAGCAAAAAAGGATCATGAAACATCATGAAACTTATGTCAAGGAACCTGGTGACTTTCACTACGTGAGCCTTCCAGCCGTCCTTCTCTACGTGGCATCGATGTGTTCTTTCGGTCTTCGGCCGGACGTCGTGGAAATCTGAACATTCAAGTCGTTGAACTGCGATCTGCAAAAAAAGGGTAAAACAACACAGTTCATGAAGCTTCTGAACCCTGGCCCTTCTGAAGCCTGGGAAAACAACACCTGGCCCTTCTGAAGCTTCTGCTCATGGCAGTAGCCCAGGTGCAGAGGTGGCCAGGTGCTGGCTTCAACAAAGACATCCACACACTACGGAAAATTCCACCAACCTTTTGGTGACTTCAATCGAGACCTGTGGACTGGTCGGTCCACCGAAGAAATCGATGATTGATGACATTCATATATGACCATAGCCTGAGAGTCCAGTCATGACTCATTTTACTCGCATATAGTGGTAGTGGTGGAAATCGATGGAGTCATCATCCTGCCAGGTACCATATGTCACTTCATCACAAGTTCTGCACCCCAGGCGTCACCCGAGCCCGTCCGCGACTTCCGCCTTTCACGTGGGCAAGAACCACGTCTCCCATCTGCGGGACCTGTCGGGACCCGGGAACACGAGGCCACCACAGCCCAACGGGATTCCATTTGGCCTTCTGGCTTGATTGGGGTATCTCGCCGTCTTCTTTTTGAAGATTGGAAGACTGAGAAGTCGACGAAAGACTCAAAGAGTCTGACCCCCAAACTGGGCAGCATCTGAAAGAGGTACCAACACATGGCGGTCCGGGGTCAAAACTGGGAGACCGGCCGGTTGACCTATCAAAATGACAAGAATGGACTACCCCGGTTCTTGCTACTCACCCCGCAAGCCAATACTCACTGTATAGTACTGTAATATTACTTAAGTACTGTAAGTACCATGTGGGTCGCTTCCTGGGAAAACCAAAAACCTACGACGCCACCGAACCCGCCACCGGTCCTCGCCGCGGCCCACTCGGCGGTCGACGTACTGGACGCCCGAGGCCAACTTCACCACCTGGAGAAAAGGTGAGTCAGTTGGTGTTGGTTTAAGCCTGCTCCTACGTCATGAAGTAGGCGCCTACTTGCTGGAGTACAGGAAAATAGTGAGCTACTAGGAACTTGTTTGCTCCTACAGTAGCTAGGACGCAGGATAGTTCACGCTTCTTCAATCAAGCTCCCCCGGCCTGAGGGCGGTGGGGGGAGCTTCCTTGAAGAAGCGCTCGCACTACCAGTCTACTGATTTGGCTCCTGGATTTTTAGGGAAACTTAACTCACGGTCATAAAATCTGAAAAAGGACCTTTGGAAGGACTAGCTTGCTCCAGAAACTAGCGGTCTATCAACATGTTGTTTCATCAGATGTGTTCAGGTTCAAATCTCCTTAAATTATACAGGCGTCTGAGAACATGGACAATTCATACAAATCGAAAGCTGCACACTTCGCCTAACACCTTCCCCACCTCGGAGCCATCCTCCAACTTGCTACGCGCCACCTCCTGCGAGGGCGCTGTTTTTGCTGGCAGATCATGCATGTATGATACAATAAGCACTTATAGTTTAACAGAACTTTCGGCAGGGAATCCTAAGAACCGCCAAGTCAATCGGTGCCTGTCTGCGGTTTCCACCGTTGTTTTCAGGTCTTGAGACACGTCACGTCATGTCTTCATGTTGCAACAACCTCCGCATTGGTCAGACCAGTTTCTCTGCTGAGGGGCACGGCTGGAGCGTAGGAGCTTGGCCCTGGCTGCGCTGGGGCAGCGCGACAAAACCGCGCTGACGCCTTCGGGGCGACCGTAAATGCGGCGAGGTCCCGTGGACTGTGGGCGGTGACTTGGATGTGCTGGATGACTGGATAGCGATAGAAGACCGGGTTGGTGGGTGGGTGTGAACACTGCTACTACGGATAAGGACGCCACGCGCCAAAATGAGCCCAAAAAACACATGGAACATGCAAACTGTTCTCTGCCACTTTCTTGAAGTTCGTCTTTCGTGCCATGTAACCAAAAAAGCATCTCTTCCAATGCGCTGACCTCACGCGCTTCGCGCGACGCTATCTACGCCGCCGCCTAGGAGCAGAGCTGCGAGGGAGCGCCGCCTCGCTCCTGAAGCGCCGAGCGACCGAGCCACCGAGCCGTCCCAACGAAGGCTGGCTATCCACCTGAACCCAAGCACCTCGGGGTATTGGACACATATGTTGGGTGGTGATTAATACCAAATAGAGGTCATTGGAGGTCACACATATGGGTGGTGATTAAATCCCAAATAGAGGTCATAGGTCCGAGGTCATTAGACATGAGGTCACTCAGGTGACTCAGTGTTGAGACTCCACTCCAGGGCCCACCATGTGTGAATCGCCATGGATTAATCTCCGCGCGTCATGGATCTGACGTTGCTCCAAAATTGTGTGTAGAAGTCAAGAAAAACACAATAGTTGCAATTGGGCTGGTGTTCCATGTAAGTTCACCCATGCAAAGAGAACTACCACAACTGCTTCGAAAATTGAACATCATCCATTATGTTCCCCCTCCTGATTTCAACCATTCCCTTCTATCTGTGTGGCAACCGAACACCCTCTGGAGAAACATGCAGGCTGAGAGAACTGCCACTGAAAAAGATTGAAAAACAACTGCATCAAAACTGGACTTCCACCCATTTCACCCTATCTCCAAACCTTTTCCTCTTACCTTTAGTATCCTTGAATGCTTCATCTCCGCCTCCTCCTCCCCACCCCGGAGGGGAGGACTCCTGGCCGCACCGGTCTCTCTGCCGCGGCACTCACGCTGCGGGCGTGGTAGGTGCTGTGCGCTGGTGCGACGGCCGCGCGTTCCAGTACGCAACGCGCCGAAGGCGCCCAAGGCCAAGGAGCTCGGTGCTCCATAGCGAAAAAAGCACAGGCGTAGTGCGAGCTTCGCTGGAAGAGAACGTTTTGGAACCCGACATCGGTAATTTGAGTATATTTCAATATACAAGTGCTGCAGGTGGTGCTCAAAGGTCCCTACAGCACTAATCTCTAAGCAGTTCGCTTTTTCTTGCTCACAGCTTTGGTGAGCCCTGGCAAAATGGAGTCCGGTATCCCGTCATCGAAGCCATGGCCACGAAACATGCAGGTGTTTCGAATCGTTTTCTTCAAGGTGACCATCATCCACGTCCAGGAACACAAAAAATGGAAACAACATATGGAAGTGTCCACTGAGTGTAAGACCAAAACAAACAACCAAACAAAAAGGATAAAACCGGTGGGAACCTGGCAATCGAGGTTTTGCTCCAGCCATTTGGAAGATCACCACACTTTTTACAAGACTGTGTTTTTAAGGCAATCCAAAGAAAACACCGAATTCCTGATCTTTTATAAAAGAATAATGAATATTCCTCATGTCCTCCCTAGTTCTCCGGATATCTCTGAGTCTGATCCAACTTCTCCCTTAAAAGTTGACGAAGACTGCAGTAATTTTAAATTCCTGCGGACTGGTCCCGTCTGGGTCTGTTTACGATGGGCCTCAGGTCTCCCTTCAATATGCTCAATATGACATTCCTATATAGTGCTCCTACAGTACCTACGGTAGTACCCATTCCGCCTCTGTTGGGGAAACAAACATGTCTTGGCCTGGCTTCTTGGCGCAGCGGTCACTCATTATTCTGTCCGAGTCTAAGAAGCCAACCCTCCCAAAACCACCATGGAGTCATTCACGGACCCGACATGGCATCTTATTCACTGTTTGAGATGGATTAAGATTTTAATCAAGAGTCCAGCATTATGAGTCTTAGTATGAATTCGGAATTCCTATATTAAACGATTCCGACAGTCCACCCTGACTCATCGTCCAGTCTTAGACTTCTTTTTCTCCATGCAGCCTCATCCCAAACCGCTCGAGTCCCATCCCGGTCGAGGCCGCAACGTCTCGGACGACTTCCCCGAAGTCGAACCTCGAAGCCGCGCACGCGCACGTGCGCGTGGGGAAAAACACAACCACTAACAACGCCTCAAAACACCCAGAAGAAGCCGCCCGCTTATCCGCTTGAAGCTCGGTTTCCGTCTTTTCGAAGCAAAGCGGTCACCGGTCACCCGCTGCGCCACCAGGCCATGGCACTCTGCAAGCCCTCGAGGGCGGAGGACACCTCAAACGCCGAACAACACACGTCGTCACACCTGGGAGTCGGAGTGGTTCATGATGGACACCCAGTCGGACCTCTCTTTTGGGGCTATGAATGGACACCCCAAATCCGTGGCGCTGGCAGAGGCGTGGTTTTGGGTGTTTCCTGGTGGCTAGGGCCCGAAGATCGGTGGTCCTTTTCCTTCGGATTGGTATTGAGGGGCGTAGTGGGCGATCCCCAAAGACCCCAGCGACGGATGTAGAAGGACGCGTGAAACACAGGAAGCGACGTCTTCATTGCAATAGATAGATATACCCCTTATCATCAATAGATAGGTCCTGGTAGGGGTACTGAATCCTGACACTAAGCCCGGACTGGCACCGTGTAGAGCTCTTTCCAAATCGATAAGAGGAGATATCAGGAGTCGTCCTTGTTCAACGCCCAACAAACCGCTTTTCCAAAACGTACCAGGACCCGACACTGTCGGGGTGTCTATTTATAGCCCCTTAGCTGCCCTGGTAGTGAAATCTGTTCCATATGTTTCTTTGTTCAGAACGATGCAATGCAGGCTATCTCTCCGCTTGCCAGTCCTCTTCCAGACCTGAAGCTGGCAAAGCCGTGAAACTTTTCATCTTCGCTTCGGCCCAGGCACCACGTTTTCAAGCTGAGCCCCAGCGCATTGCTGCAAGACCTCGCGCATAAGCGAATGCACCGATGCGCGCATGCATAATTACGCATGTGCGTCGACCAGGCGATGTAGAATGTGGAAGAGTCAAAGCAGTGACCCCGTGTGGAAGCGATACATCTGGAGTTCTTCCAAGCTGGGGACATCAGCCACTCGCCCGTGATCCTGGCATATAATTACTCAATAGTAAAATCCAATCACTCTTGAAAAATGGATCAGCCAGCAGGTCAGAAACAGGCGGGAGAAGCTGCGGGCGACCCCAAGAAAGGCTTCACATGATGGTGTTCCATCTCTCAACGTTCGTGCCGGAGTGCCACCGGTGCCACCGGTGCCACCGGTGCCACGAGACGATGGAACCTGGTGGACCTGGCCTTTCTCTATCCCAGATACTCCATGTATGCCATATATGCCTACATTGACCCCCCAAAACCACCCCAATGTAGGCATATATGCCATACATGGAGTGTCTGGGTATGACTTGATGTGACGGATACCGACGGTGACTGGTCATGGGCTGCACCCTGGTACATGATGACTTTGGCTACTTTAACTTGCATGTCGTCACCCATTCAAGATCTACACCGGACCGGACCAGCCGCACTCTCGTTTTCTATGAGACTCATGTGCTCCCAGTGCCGTGTGGTCCAAAAAGAAGGGGCAACGGTCCCAGGAGCCAGGTGTGGAACACGGTCCAAACAACACGCTCCTGGGCTCCCAGTAGTTCTATGCTTTTTCTCGGGATGATGGGTCCCCATATGTTGGGCATCCCATTACCAGTAATAGACATTTTGATTGGTATATAAAGCACCCTGCAAAGATAGCTTTCAATCTCCATTAATGGGCATCTCGATTTACCAACAGTCGGCAATAACAGTTGATGATGATGATGATGATGATGATGATGATGATGATGATGATGATTCAAATTGTCTTAACCTAAAGGCCTATAGCCTATTCCCATCAAACGTTGTTTTTTTGCGATGCTCTCTTACCCACCTTTAAGTGGGACAAAAGAACACCCTCGACCTCCCGGTCACCTCCTTCCCACGAGACCCGTGCTCGTGCTCGGCTCGGTGCGGTGCCCGCCGGTCCTCCTCGGATTCGATGACCGGCGCGGTGAAGGACCGGCGCATGGCCCGGCGCTGGGCCAAGACGTCGCTGCCTCCGGTCGCAGGACGGTAGGAGGGACTGGGGAGGCGACTTTCGGTGATGGATGGTGGAAAGGGAGCGAAAAAGGAAGGAAAGAACGTTGTCTGTGAAAACAGATTGGGTTGGTGGTAGATAGATGTAACATAGTGTAGATGGTCATAGATGGTAGATGGTCAAAGTAAACACCAATTCGTTGAACCAAATGATTGGCTGCTACGGCTGGTTGTACGTTAGCTCACCACCTTTTGGTCACATCTCCTCATCCTTGGATTTGCAAGCCCCACAAAACGAAATGGAAAGGAATTCACCCATTTTTTGTTGGAACACACCAAAACGCGCCAAACGGCAGGTCATGGTCATCTCCCGTCTTCCAAGCGGAGCGGTCTGCCCCAAAAACCGCCGTGTGCTGCCTGGTGCCAGGGCCTCGGCAAAGGCCGCATGGTAATCCGCCCGTGGGCCATATGTCGAAACAGCGGCGACCGGGGAGTCGCTATTGGCCCAGGGAGGCTCCAGGGCCCAGTCAATGGCCACGAGAAGCACCTGCAGTGGAGGGGGGTCAGGAGGCATGGGGGCAGGGGAGTACGAGGGGCCGGGCAGGACCCCAACACTGCAAGGGGCCATGTGATCCATGGTCTGATGTCAGAAAGTAAAACCTCAAAATGCATCTATATAGACTCTAGAGAAGTGCCAACAAAAAGCCATCCAAAGTGTTTTGGTACATCGTTTCGACCCATTTGGTGACAGATCAGTGGATCCTTTAGAAAGGACTCAATTATCAGGAAGCAAGTTTCAGAAATCCCGTTTTTGGATCTCAATCCTGGACTCCAAATATTCTACCATCTCCAGGGTCGGACACGGGGTCAGTCTTGACCTTGGAACCACTGCCAGGCCTACTGCTGGGCAATGGATCTATATACAGTTCAAGGGATGTGAATGCTGCGGGCGCACCTTGGGTCGGTCCCTTATACATCCAATTCCAAGGATCGCTTCTACTTCGTCAAATTGAAAAATCACAACAACTGGTAGGACAAGGGAGTCTAAATCTGATGTCCCATCTGTCATCCAAACTTCCTCCACCACCTTCCTCTACCGTTGCACCACATTGAAATCCAAGAGGGATAGCTTACTGGATACCCTGCACCAACCAACCATGCTGTGTTGGGCCCGACCCGCCTCACAAAGACGCTTCTTTTCGGCCACCTCGGCGTTCTCCAGCGCCTTCAGCGCCAGTTGCAACGCCTGTGCCTCGAGGCAAACGGCTTCCGCAAATACAAGTTCATCTCTTCCCTGTCAGTACCTTCCGAATCCGTCAAAGTACTTGGGGAGTCCGTCCTTTTGTTCGAAGGATGCACCTGCATCAAGAACTTTTGAAGAAGGGCTCATAGAGGACATCAGAGATTCTGCCCTTGCAGGTTGAGAGTGCTTGGAGCATAGAATAACTTTTGCTGGAACGCCCCTACCCAACTGGTCTTCTCTGTTCAACCAGTAACGACAGGGCCGGCATTTCACTGGGATTTCAGACTCCAACAACACCTCACAATAATAACAACAATAAAAATAGATAATAATATACACACATGTTTCAGGGTTTCAAGGTTGAACATCAAATATCTGACACCACCAGCCATATATATATAGTCTAAATTAAAAAACTGGCTATATATGATCGAGTGTGTCTATCGTAACACGATATACTATTATCTATATAAATTTGTGACAACTCATGTTATTTAGATTGAGGTATACAATATTATATACACACACTTTATTCAACTATATATACATAAACTACAACAACACAAAACACATAGTACTTTCAATGTAGTGTTGGAACATAATTGTTAAAAATATCTAAGCTTAAAGCTTATATATAACTATATATAACTATACATTATATACTATATATTATTATAGTATTCAATAAACATAAACTTAGAGCCTGAGTGGCCAACAACACAAAATATGGTCAAACTTCCTGTGAACAAAAAGCACTAGTCACTAGCAATATGTTATAACATATTATCAATCATATTATAAGGCCGCCTCCACCATCCTTCTCCCAAACTCCCCAAGGCACATCAACCTTGGGTCGCAGCGCAGGTCCCTCGAGTGCAATGGCTGCCTCCTTGGCGAACTGGACGTCTCCCAAGAATCCATGGAACTGCTCCACAACTTGTATATCCCATGACCAGGGCGGGCCTATAATAGTGCATGATGGAAGAATTGAAAGACTTTCTCAAACTTCTTGATACTCCCTTTTCGACTCTTACTGGCACCAACTGGGACAAGTATTCGGTTTGGAAAGTATCCGACTGAGCCCGTGATCAAGTAGTGGAGGATATCCCATGATCAAGCACTTTCTTCAAGATCATGTAGATTGTGTCATGTCACTAGGATTTATGAAACTACAAACTACACACATCTCGACTCGCTGGTTGGTTCTGTCATGCTGAATAGCCGGCCAGACCTGCTAGCAACATCTATAGCTTCCATCCGCGGACGGGTGCGAGACCATCCTTTTTCGGACGCCGTAGTAATGTCGTGTCGTTTATCTTGCCTGCTTCGCCAGGTGTGCTAAGGCCTGCTTCAGCCGGGCAGCCTTAGAGTGGGAAGATGTTCCAGGTGGATGGAGGAAGAAAGCGATTCCAAAGACCAGGGGGTGAAACAACTGAAATTCCAGGTCCAGAGTCTGACCTACCCCCCAAAAAAGGGACCTTCACCCGATTCGATGCAGGCACTGGAACCCTCAAACCCTCTTCCGGACGCTTCTTCCGCACCAAGGCATCAGCCCCAGCGGCCAAGCGCCCTTGCTGCGCCAGGGCCTCGGCCCACCGCCGCTCGGCGGCGCGGCGCGCGGCACGCGCGGTGGCGCAGCGGGCATGCAGGGTCTGCAGGCGGTGGAAGAGAGCGAGGCAAAGGAGAAGCGTCACCTGGTTGTGCCGATGCGGAGGACTGAACATGCTGCCATGCAGCAGGTGAAGGTGGTCCGGAAGAGGAGCGAGCTCGGAACGGAGACGGAGCAGTGCGGACGGAGACGGTGCCAGGAATTCGGTTCTTTTTACAGTGTGGATGCTTGGGGATGGTGGTCCTTGGGGGTGGGGAGCGCAGGGTGGAAGGCTTCACCGAAGCTTGAGGCGCCAGGGAGAGGCAGGTTTGAGGCTTGAGGACCATGTCTTTTGGCCTTCTGAATGGCCCGGAAGAGCAGTTCTTGGATAATCAATACTATGTATGATACGACTGTCGGTCCTTTGTCCCCATCCAGCTTTGTGAAGCCTCTGAGAGCGCCATTTCGATCGCCACTTCGGTGCTGGGCTGGATGATGCCTACACTCCCGAAGACGAACATATAGACCCTATAGCTGTCTGGCCCCCTGGGTCCGAGTGTTTTCCTCTACCAACCAGTGGTTTTCAGGGTCCCTGTTAGTCTTCCAGGGTGTAGCTCAAGTTCTACCTCCAAAGGGGCTGAGTTTTGGGACACCTCACAGGGTCTCGCACCCCAAAAACGAGGAGCCACACGACCACTCCTCCACCGGACAAAAAACATATAACAACATCACCCGGAAGGACATTTATCTTTGGGGGCACAAAATACCCTACCCTGCCAAACCTGGTCTGGCCTGGTCTCTTTCAAGCCTCCTTGAGTGGTGTGTTGATATGATTGGACCATTCCTGTGCATCATAGTGTCAACCTGACCGGGCTAGAGCTGTGAAACAATATCAAGCCGCCATCGGTTTCATGGAACCAAGGACGAACATTGTGCAATCTCGCCCAGACATGACCATGACCTGTCTACCGGAAGATTTGCCAACATGAACCCCCAGGGAAAAACCGCCCCACTGTGTATATGCCAGTCCCAAGCAGGTCATCGGTCATCTTTGCGATGGGTTGACCCAGGTGTGCTAGGAGATCAGGTGACCCAGGTGAAGAAATCGAGACCCAGGTGACCAGCAACGCCGGCGTCCACCCGGCACCGGCCGCAACGGCCACGGTGCACACGGCGGCCGTTGTAGTGCCAAGGACGGGCACCATGCCATGGCGAGAAGTGGGAGATGAAATACGAAGATGAGCGGGAGAGGGAGTTATTGAGTCTGGAAGGACTTGTGTAACTTGTAGCAAACAAAAAGGCACCATCTATACTGGATCGGCTGCCTACACTCTTGGTCCAACGAGCGGCTCTTGGTCCATTGCTTCACTCTTGGCACCAAAGCACCTGTCCCACGTGGCCGATGTGTTGTGGCACCGCTGAACGGTGACCGATGAGTACTGGTGACGCCGTGGTCAGATGTGGTGCAGAGATCGAGACTCTCGAGTCCTGAAATTGGGTCGATGTGTTTACGGCATGAAAAGTCTAAATATGTCTAAATACAAGTTGCGTATATACGTGTAGGTAGGCTATAGTCGGTCATATTGGTCTACTTGGCCCGATCATGCACTAATCTTTAAAGGCAATTTCGCGGGCTGGATGTGGTCGTCTCTGAGATGCCCAATTTCGCGCCACGTGGCTGGTGCTGGCCTTGTGTAACCGCATGCAAGAAAAAACACCTACTAATCGAAGTTTGTGGAGTGTGTACCAGCACCCTCCAACAGGTCACTAATTGAAACCTGTTATAAGGCCTAACAACCCTCCATTTCGGAGACCTGTTGAAGGTTGCTGGTATATGTTCATAGGGAGATGCCTGACCCATACTGTAGACATCTGTAGACTGGTCTATACTTCCGAACCTTTCCGGGGGTCGAACTGGGAGGTCTCTCAAGGACTGAGCTACACATTTACATGTACATGACTGGACTCTGTGATCCAAAAAGGCGAGCCTCCTGCGAGTTTCATTCAAGCTGTGTTTGACATCAGGGCATGCGCAACCAAAACCATCTATCTGCCTATTTCGGCAGTGCGGCCCTCCATAGCAAACCCTCCCCAAGCATAAATCTGGAACCCGAACTCAACCAATCCTCGAAAAAAGGCTCTGGGTCCAAACCCTTTTCACTGTTCAGGCCTGAGAATTCGGGTCGACTCGCCGGCGTGGTCGATGCCGCAGAAAACCCACGTGTCGTGCAAGCATCGAACGGGAACATGGCCCCCTATCCCAGAGTCTCCATGGGACTGCCATGCCGATCAATTGGGGTGGTGCCAGGGGGGTCAATGTAGGCATATATGGCAGTCCCATGGAGTGTCTGGGTATAGAAAGACCATGAACTCTTGTACAAACACAAGATGAACTCCACGGAGACCATGAACTCGTTGGAGGGAGGGATTTCTCCGCCATCCTCCGAGGGATTTGCTGCTGTGGTGAGAAAAAGGCTGGTGAGTGCGAGCTAATTGGCCGGTCGAAAGGTTCGCTTTGGTATATTCAATCATATGATATATGTATGTTGCAATACATGGCAATACCACTGGGGGGGTCCTGGTCGTGATTTTACAGACACAAAACGGTGGACCTGGACCCCTAGATTCTTATATATTATGATACCATCAGAATGATATGCTCTTGCCCTCAAACAAATAGGGTTTGGAGGGCCCGGACCCCTGCGAAGAGGTCGGGTCCGACCCCTGCCATGGAGAGCGATTCTATAGGGTGGAGCCAAACATTACGTATAAGTACCATGTCCATATATGTCTCAGGAACACGAATCATGTTTCTTGTTGCTTGGCCTTTGGCTTCCATTCTGTTGAAATTAGCAAACACCCAGAGGTCTTCATGACCTTCTCCAACAAAAGGTACAAGTCAACATATCAGCAAACACATCTTCAACCCCCCAAATGGAAAAGAAACAAAGCCACATCCGCCAGCGCGCCAGCCTTCGTTTTCGCCTTGGGTCCGGGTCTAGACCAGTCGAAAACGCCTTAAAGGGCCATGTTTGACACGTCCCAAGGCATTTCTCCGTCCCGGATGGCTTAAAGCCCCCAAGCAATGGCCGCTCGGGAGCACCGAGACCAGGCAGATGAATTCCATGGCAGCGCGCTTCGCTGAGCTGCAAGACAACGAATTCGAAGGATTGGAGGACTCCGCCTCCGACTCGGCACGCTGGGCATTTCTGCGATGGAAAGCAACCGCAACAAGTCCACTCGATTTCCACTGGCAGATTGTATACCGACTGTCTCATCTCTTGAAACTTTAACACGACTTGTCTGGGACTGGCAGTCCTGACTCCCAATCAGGCCAGTGGTGGCTGACCTGGGGTCAATGTAGTGTAGGTAAATAGAATTAAACCCTAGGGCTCCAAGCATATCTTCAGGTGGTTAGACCTCGCAAATCCATCCCAACCATCCTCTCAGGAGGTAGTTGGAGCCCTATAACGATGCCGGTCCCAAACAAATCCTGTCTGGATATCCTTCCACAGGATGCCCGGAATTGGGCGCACCACTCAAGTGCCTGCCAGGGCGGCCGGCTTCAAAAGCGTGAGCGCGAGTGCTCAGGTATTAGCCGTGAGATGGGCATTGAAGCGTCAGCCCCAGGTCTTCCAAGCTGTACTGCATATATACACAGGTGGGGAGAAGACTTTTTGGAAGTCCCAAGTCGAAATGATGTCTCCCAAGCTATAGTTGAGGATGATGGTGACAGAATCACATGGTTTGACTAACCATCTTCTTTTTCAATCACATCAGCAACCTCAACAAAAATCCCTCCTTTTTTCGAACGCTCCATCCAAATGGGAATGATCCCAACCCAAGGCCCAAGCCCACCCAGCCTGGCACCGGCGCAACTTCTCCCTCTGAAGCCGCCACGGCGTCTGTCGCCGGGTTCGCACGGTCGAGCCATCCGGAATCCAGCACCTTCAAGGCGTTGCGGCACAATGGCTGGCACAGGTGAGGATCTGGAGGATGGGATAAATGAATGTTATAGATATATACACCAAAAAACACATGCATATTATACATGGCTTTGAAAAAATGTCGGTGCTGCTGGTGAGTTTTCAGAGGACTTCATGCAAAACTGTGGTTGCTTTCAGTTTCAACCTTTAAGTTCTTGGAGAGGGTCAAATCAAGTCGGATTTGCATTTGAGAGGATCAACTTGATGATATGAGTGGATCGATTGTTCGTAAACGGGGCTCCAAAATGGGATAGAAGCAGCTGTGGCTGGAACACAGTGGTTGTGCTGAAGGGTACTAATACCCACCTATGCAAGTCTCAAACAAACATGTGAAAAGTCGCGATTTCTGCATGTGTTTTTGTTGAAAATTGAAAGCAAAGAATGTTGGAACAAATCCCATGAACTACTGTTGATGGACCAAATCCTCGCATCACCAGATTCACCAAATCCGCACACAGCGAACCGGCATGTTCCAAACGAATGCCGTGGCCGTGGGCTCTCCACAGGTTTCGCTTCGGTTTCACCCCTCTTCTCCCCGCATGGCCCACGTGCATGCCCACGTGCGCATGGCCCACGTCTAAACCTGAAGTGTATTCGGAATATGGTATTCATGGTCTGAAAACCATCTAAACCCAACCCTCCTGGTGCTCAAGGCGAATCTCACGTTGTGACCAGTACCATGGCACAACATGTAAGCCTCTCTCCAACAATGTCCTCTACAAGCAGGGGGTTGTCCACTTCCATGATTTGGGAGGGCAAAAGGACCACCATCCGTCGTCTGGGTCCGCAAGCGGAAAAGAACACCGGTTATCATCAGAGGTGGGCCTTGCGCATGATGTGCAAAAAGGTCAAAAAGTTAATATCCTCATCTCCATCGCCACTGGTCTCTAAGGCGGAACCTTGGAGAAGATCGAACTGAAGGTATTACACAGGGTGGATCGTAAAGCATAGATGCTAGACTGGCACCTACCGTACCCAACGTGAAAGCACTGCAAAACAGAAGAGCCCTCTTAGATGCTTTTGAAGTCTACTGGCTGTTCAAAGGAGAGTTCTGCGACTGACCTCGTCTGTCCTGTCTTCGTCTTCGTCTTCCAACATGGGGTAGTGTAAAAACCCCGTGTCTTTTGCAATACCTCGAAACCATGTTATCGTTTATTTACTCTTATCGTTTTCTCAGGTGAAAGCATCTTTGTTGGAAGATCACAAATCAAAACATGTCATTTGGTGGTCTACATGGTCCTACTTCAGGATCCCGTAGCACTGCCTGTACCAAGGCGTACACCGTCTTTGGTGGTAAAGACATGGCAGCAGCAAAGATCAGATATAGACAGCTAAACAAGACTACCACATCGCACACTTCTGCCCTTCAAAAGGTCTAATGAACACAGTCAAATGGGTACTTGCCCACCATGCTATTTGCTACATTTCCTTATCGTTTTCGTTTTGTTATCGTTCCGGACACCTCTGCAGGTTGCCATTTTCGTGGTTCATGTAAACAGCTGCAGCATATGGACCAAACAGCCCATTCAGTTCCTAGTAGTAAGGCCAGGAGCCCCTAAGAGCTTCTTGTTCCTGGTAGCGATGCCAGGAGCCCCTAGTAGCTGCGTGTTGCTTTGTAGTAAGGCAAGCTTCTTGTTGCTAGTAGTAAGGCCAGGAGCCCCTAGTAGCTTTTTGTTCTGAATGTGCAGGTATAATCATTGTTATCGGTTTTTTACTCTTCGTTTTCTGGGGTAGGAATGCATTAGTAGTGTTAAGGTGCATGCCAATACTAAACCGCTGAGCACATGCATCTGTGCTCTTCCGCAGCCATGCCAAACTCCTGGCCCCTCAAAGGCCACCATCTAATCACCATCGACGCAATTTTCGACGCCCTCCCCCAGCACGACCAGCTTCAAACATGTCTCGCCAAGCTTCGGCAGAGCATCAGCAGGCGTTGCTTGTCCGGCTCCTTCAGTTTGAAGCTGCCCGCCAACATCTCGGTCACCTCCTCAAAGGGCAACCTCGTCCATGTTCGATCGATCGACGTGGCTTTTGTACCTCCCACACTGGACAGTTGAAAGATGTTGAAAGATAAGCACCCTTGGGCAAAGGACAGGTGGAATTCCCTTGGGCAAAGAGAGACGAAAGGCAACATGAATGTGGAGGTATGTGGAGCAGAAGGCCCTGGATGAGAAATTATCACTTCTGGACATCTGTGACAAGATGATTAATTGATTCAATCCGTTTCATGCAAAGACTGATTGATGGATTGCTTTGCGATGATACAGGAACTTGGAACAAAAAGGTCCTGAATAAGGTCATCATCCACCAAGCCGGTATATATTCCTAATTTTTCCTTTTTGGAGCCTTTTGGAAGATTCAGGCCAAGCATATCAATGGCGGGAGGCGCTGGCTCGTCAAGGCTCACTAGCCCAGATTCAATCTATATAACGTATATAACCCTAGGGCTCCAACCATATCCTCAGAAGGGTGTTAGCCTCGGCAAATCCATCCCAGCCATGTTCTCAGGAGGTAGTTGGAGCCCTAGGCAAAATTTGGTGGACAAAGGATATCAAGTGCTTCGCATTCCCATTCCTTCCTGGGGTCTCTTCATTCCTTCCTGGTGAACCACAAACATCTCGTTTGGACATCGGGACGCTCTGGACAACATGAAACAACCTCCCACACATCGACACCATCGGCTTGTGGATTTGCCTCTTGGGTTTAGAACGACCTGTAGGAATCACTGGGCCCGTCCATCGCCGCTATGTAGTCACACAAAATCACACAACCACAACCAGTACTGTTGGATCTTGATTAGTAAAAGGGTCCGCTAAATTTTGGAAAAATATTGACATCCTGTTTGTTTTAGCTGTCGCCGCTGTTAGCGACCCCAGAGGAAATCACGATTTTTTGTGGGGTTGGGTTGGGGTGGGGCGGGGCACGTGAACGTTCGCTTGCACTTACGTCACGAAGTTGATGCTTCGTGGTTGATGTGGGGTGGGGTGGGGTGGGGTGGGGCATGTTAACGTTTGCTTGCACTTGCGTCACGAAGTTGATGCTTCGTGTTTGATGTGGGGTGGGGTGGGGCTTAACGTTCGCTTGCACTTGCGTCACGAAGTTGATGCTTCGTGGTTAATGTGGGGTGGGGTGGGGTGGGGTGGGGTGGGGCATGTTAACGTTCGCTTGCACTTGCGTCACGCAGTTGATGCTTTGTGGTTGATGTGGGGTGATGCAAAACGCGTCGATCAATATGTCCGCAGTTTTCAGTTTCGGTGGAACAACAGAGGAAATTTGCTTGAGGCGTTGGCCCGAACGTGGCCGCAAGTGTAAAGAACATACACCTGCAAAACGCGTGTGCGCCAAAAAGTGCACTTTCTGCTCTTCCCCATTCTAAATTCCACGTTACCAAGTGCCGTCCCTTCTAAAAAATGGGATGAAAGTACATATATGATCCAACCTCTCCCAAATGAAAAAATGAAACACATGGGAGGTTTTGAGCACTGTCCACTTCGGCGCTGTGCGAATCGCACAGGGTGACTATTAAATTATTAGCGGCGGTACCTTGTTTTAAGGGTCCTCTATTAAATTATGCTATTTTTTGGGGGGATCCTTATGTTTTATTATCTGAATAATGAATTTGTTTTAAAGGTCCTCAATTGTGCAAAGTTGTTTCCTGAATATAAACATAGTAATTCTTCGAATTCTTAATACTACTAAGCCAAAGGTTGGCTTTCTGAGAGTATGCCACTGTTGTGCCCCCCCCGAAATAAGCTTTCAACATCTCGGCATGGCCCGTCCCATGTCCCCTGCCAAATGTAGGCCGCTCGCACTCTCATCCGAGAGGCCGCTCCCGGTGGCCAGCCACCGTGAGGAAGAACTGGCGGATCTCGCCCACCTCCTGACGCCAGAAGCTGGGCGGGTGGCCCGCCAACGGCGCCAACGCGGCGCACGCGCGGCGCACGCTGGCTTCAGGTCAGGACACCTGCTCTGGACCGGATTCTTAGGAAAAAGAAGCTCCGCGAGAGGTGGGCTTGAAAAAGGGCTGGCCAATGAATTGTCTAAACACGTCTGAATCAATGTGTTTCGTATAAAAATTCTCCACGGGAGGGTCAAACTGGCACGTCTTTCTTTTAACAGTTCCCACATGTTGCCACCGATCGTGTCAGGACGTCGGAGGGTGGATCCATATGCCGTATTTTTCTGGGTCCTCTCACAGATGAGACCACTAAAAGAATAGTGGACCTGGTTTTGCAGTGTAAAACCTCTAGTAAGACAATGGAGGTTCGGAAAACTATTATCTAAACAAATAATGGCGGTTGGAAGCTTGGGGCAAAGGTGCCGGCACAAACTCGGATTGCACTTTGAGAAGTGGTGGATGAACTTCGTAGCATCTCACGACGGCGGTCAAAATTACTCGCTGAGGTGAGGTGGGATTACAAGCAGATGGCACAAGTTACCCCAGTGCCGATGGTTTATATGGACCCCATAGGAAAAACATCATTGGGTGCCAGTGCCATCTACTCTGAAATCACTGTAGAACTGCAGGTTAGTAGCCAATTGCTGAGGGTGCCTAATAGTCCTGTAGGATTCTTGGATGAAATGTGGTGACCTTTTTTACAAATCCTCCAAGAAACTGCCAATCAGCCGACATGAAGCAACCTCATAGATAATGTTATATCTAAGTTGTATACCTAGATCCACCGCTATGTGAAAATAATGTCGTTTGGTGGAACTACAATCTTTATTGTCGTTTAAACGAAGAACTGCTGTTTGAAAAAAAACTGTCGTTTGCCCTTCGCCCAGTCCGCGCCTCGATTCTTGCCAGCTCTCTTGGGAAGATGATCTTGGAAAATAGGTTGAAGTTAAGATTATTTAAGATCTAAAGTTCTTGACTATAAGATAGTCTATGTTTTCTGTACCAAGTGGTTGGCTTTCAAGCCTTGGGTTGTCAAACAGTCCCCTCAAGAACCTGAAAGGCTCATCATCCTAGATATACCTAGACATAGTAGTCGAGCTTTGCCACCTCCCCCACGTGACCGTTTCATCTTCGAGCACTTCATGTCCTTTGCTCGCTGGGGCCTCAGGGGCTTTGAAGGCCGGACGACCTTGGAGCTGGCATTGGACTTGCGATAGCGGCGGTGAAGCATGTAAGCTTTCACTAGAAAGCATTGTAAGACTCGGCCACTGATTCCTCTTGAGTCTAGCCTCCTCGATAAACGAGCAAGCCTCCCGACACTGTCTTCATTGCCCTCACAGTTGTAACACAAAGGGCTCAACACCACCTGCGATCCTCGTGAGAGCTGCTGGCGGATTTCCACTAATGTGTGTTTCCACATGTGCTGTTTAGGTTTGATGGCAAACAGGTTCATGGAGCCAAGACAATGCTGGGCCAGAAGGCAGTAGCCAGCCATGAAAGAGTTCCCATCACGACACAAGGCAACAGCGCACTGCCGATCAAGAAATAAACCATGTAGATACATGCGGTCGTAGTAGCTCAAGGCGGCGTGAACTGTTTGACACATCAGCTGGAGGACAGCCCGGTCGCCGGAGCAGGTTGAAGGGTCAACCTGGAAACCAGTCAGTTGCACACACAGCCATCGGCACAGAAGTACTGTATCGCTTCCCTTGGTGTTGGTCCAGGGAAATGAGCGCCGAGACTTGTAGCAAAACAGATTCTTTGAGAAGCTGCGCAAAGCTGGGCTTGCACCCACACCATTGCAATACAACCTGAAGGCACCAAAAGCAGTGATCAATTTGCTTGGCACATCACCCATGCCAAAGAAGCCCTTCTCTAAACACCAAAAGACACAGCTCCCAACCACATCCCTCAAAGTGCCAAGCTTGCCAATGTGGAAAGGGTCTTTCTGGTAAAACGACTCTGGCGCTGCATCGTTGAAGGGGATTTGGAGAAGAACTGGGTCAGAAGTCCATGGCCTGCTAACGTGAACGGTCTGCTCCCAAACTGGAAACTCTTGGAAATCCTCCCAGCTGATGCCTGGGGAACCCCCCAGGCACTCGTGACAACACTGCAGGTCTCTCACCCTGCCCTGGTTTTCGTAGGACCTGGAAAGGCCACCAATCTGCGTGTGCCACTTCATGTCCGCTTTCAAGCCTAACATGGCGCAACAAAAAATATGATTGTGGGGACCAACAACTCCTTCGTAGAATAAGGCCTTGAGCTGCTGGGCAAGCATCTTGTGGAAGCTGTATGCAATGTCAGGATTCTGTTTGTATACTATTCCAGGGATGACGACCAACGGCCATCTTTGCAAGAAGGAATGCCCTTTTGTGTTGGTTCTCATGTTCTGAACTGCACGCAGGGCATCAGGTCCAAGAGAATTGGCAGCGTGGCCAGGTTGTGCCTGGTACTTGTTAAGCTCCATGGGTGACGGGTGACAACCACAATCTCTTTTCCTTTTCTTGGACGGAAAATCTAGGCCAAAAGGTGTCTCCAGACTCGCTATCATTGTTCCAGTTCTTCTCTTTCCACGGCCTTCATCGCCGTGGAGAAGGAGTGGAAGCGTGTAAGCCAGATCCGAATCATGGGTTGTGTAGACTTTGTGACTTGGGTGGAGCTGCCTGTAGGCAGCCCAAAAGGACTGTAGATGCACTGCACGATCATGGTCAGAGAAATCGCCACCCAATAAAATATCAGGTGTGTTGTTCAACAAAAAATGTATCAAATCCTTGGGAGCCAAGTATTTGAGAACCACAATCTCCCCATTGGAGGCAGTCCATTCAAACGTGCTCAACGGAACTCTCCATCCAATACCAAACTTGTGAAAAGTACGCCAGGCAGTTCTTTGGGCGTTTTTTTTCCAACCACCTTTCGCTCCGTCAGCATCGCTGAGGTCACCCCTTTCTTCCATGGCAGCACGGCGCATCCCGCCAGCTGTGACGGCTGGAACCTCAGCGAAGGGAGGCAAATGCGGAGAAGACCTACAGTAGCTCAGCAGACCAATAAGGAGCGGGCCCCGTCAGCAATAGCTTCAGCATAGCTGTGTGTCAAAGGACCAGCCACGGGCTCTCCACCTGGCTCGCATTTTTGTTAAAGGAACGATAGCTGGCTATTGAAGAAACAGTCAACGGCTTTGCCATTTGTTTTTTTGCTGCAGCTCGTTTCAATGCCCGATGAAGGTCGTTTGTGTGAAATCACACACGTCAAACTTGAATTGCTTCATCCAAAGTTGGTGACCGAAAAACAAAGGCAAAAGTTTACATACAAGTGAAGCAGAACAACTATTTGTCACCCAACAAGTCACCAACCATTGGTAATCCCCCCCTCAAACAACAGTGACTCAGCTTTTGGCCCGCTTTCCCGGGGCTGAATCAGGCTCAGAGGCATTGGCGGTCTGCTTTGCCTTGGCCTTGGTTTTGGCCTTGGGAGCACCCGCCTTAGCCTTAGCCGCCTTAGCCTTGCCTCGGGCACGGCCGGCTCGGTTCTTCCGTGTTGAAGATTGACTCACTTTGGGCAGAAGAGACCTGCACGGAAGGTATGGGTGACGCTTGACCATGCTGTGCACAAAGGGGAAATGAGCTTTGTTCGGTGTTCAAAGCTCATGCCCTCCATCGCCCTGGCGAAGGAAACAGGTGAACAAATTGTGTTTCTTGGCCAACCCTAGCTTTCAACATTGTAAAATCTCCACATGCCTTCTGCGGGCATCACCGTACAAGCGTTCGATGGTCTTCTCTGACCTTTGCAGCAGCTATGGCAAACACAGATGGGAAGAAACTATTTGACATTGAAGCAAAACAAGCAACCCCACAAAGGTCATAAGGTGGGTACTCCTTCGAGAAACCATCAACAACACCCGCAGTGTATTGCTCGTCAATGCTCACGCTGCTTTGGTTGAGGTCAGTGATCAGCTGGTTGAGTTTGTCTCGCATCCTGAGCGTAACTCTTCAGCTAGGCTAACTCTTGGACTTAGCTATTTGTGTACGCTAAGTATTGCCTGCGCTAACTATTGCCTCAGCAAATCTAGCTGTTCGTAGCTATACAAAAATGTTCAACAAAACTTCCTTTGATCAAGAATGACCAAGAACACAAATCCAGCCAATAGTCTTTACCTGCAAGTCCGTAAGCTTCGCATCACCACCGAACCTCTCGGCGAGGTCTTGGAGCTTCTTGACCCGCTTTGAGATGCAGGCCCTGGGCTGGGAGTTTATCAAAAGCGAGTTCCCGGCTTTGAGACGCAGACCGTTTTTTCTGTTCCATAAAAAAAGCACAAAGCGCATTCAAACACAGAAGTAGAGGTTGGCAACGGCGAGCAAGTTTTAGTGATACAAAAGCGTGCCAAAGGCAAGCTAACGTTTAAAAGGGTCTTGGACCAACCAAGACTCAGCATTTTGGTCGCAATGCTTGAAGGAAGAGCATCATGTTCCAAGTCAGGAATCCCAGCCTTTTTCCTCTCTGAACGGGCCAAGTCTTCTGCTGCCAAGGCCTCCGCGTCCTCTCCAGAGAGCTCTTCATCCGAGGACAGCTCCTCACCTTTCGGCACAAATCATGAGATACTGACTGGAGTTTGGGTGAAGGAGCTGCAAATTTGGGAGAATGACAATTCAGCAGCAACGTGTGCATGTCAAGCCTTCTTCTGGTTCTGGCGCTTCTCGTTTCTCAGCTTTGGAATGAGCTTTGGAATGGGAATCCCTGGAAGAGTTGGCCTTCAGAGACGGTTTCGGGGGAACGCCGTCAGTAGGAACACTTTGCACAGGAACTGGGGCTTGCTTCGGCAACGGCAGCATGGACCCACCCGGAACAAGGCCGGCGGGCTCCATGAACTTGGAAAGGTCCTTGCTGTCGGCCACCTGCTCCAAGTTCAGCCGTCGGTTGACTTGGAGTTTGTTGGATCTCCTTGGGACCGCATACAACTACTTCATTTGAGTCATCCCTCAATTGCA